CACTTAAAAATGCAGAATCACACACGAATAGTGTATGATATGCAAGTTCACATTACCTAATTGAATAATTCACGTGTGATTGATTAATTGGTTGATCTTGCCAAGAGAGTTAATAGTCTCGCTCCTGCACTGAATATCATAAATTACTCATTAAGCAACAGAGCACAATAATGAAACATTACATGGAAACATTACTTTAATTTTTCCTGTCCTTTTCCCTCGCTTTTCTAGTTACATGTCATACTATTGCCTTTAATCTGATCAACAGCCTGAGTGAATGCCTATTTCTCACCTTTAGCTTAATCCCAGTTATTGGCCTGTAGACATTGACTCACTAGACTCCAATATACTGTATAGGAGCGCTTTCACAAATTCTTCCCTAACATAAATCTTCTTTCCCCCACTCCGGCGACCTCATTTCCCCCAAACCATTCGGAAGTAGTAATTTGTTTTCTCTTATTCATATTCAACATTTTATCTGACTAGATTAACATTTACTTTTTAAGAGCTGCTTTTAGAAAAGGAGGAGCAAATTCAGCTTTCAAGCAAAAATGCCTGAAACATCTGAATTGTGCTTGTATGTTTAAAAAAATGGAAGTTAGCACAAAAAGGTTCAGGAAGTGATTCATGCAAATACAAACAATTGGCTTCTAAATGGAAGCAGGGAACACAGGCCAGTGACAAGGAGAGAGCCATGGGAGGTAGGAACAGAGTAAACCTGCTGCCATGCTGTTTTACACTGATAGCTGGAACTTAGCCCAAACGAAACCATTGGTGTGATTTTCATTATAAATATCTGTTTCGAGCCATTAAATTGATGACGTCTCAGATAGAGGGGAGCAAACTGGTTCTCTTGATTTGTCCCTTGATCACACTGTATATCTGACATTGTTAGTACTCTTACTCACAGTCTTTGTTTTGTTAACTGTATTTTAACTACTCTTTAACTGCTCTGTTCCTTAACAGCAGGTGTCTGTCTCTTGATGGTTAAAGGCCAATTCAGATGTGTGAGGCAGTAGTAATTAGGACTGTGGACTCTGGCCTTCAGGGTCATAGGTTGGGGTTTTGTACCCTTGTGCAAAGTACTTTACAGAGATTTCTCCACTAAACCCCATGCTGTATAAATGGGTATGTTCCAGGTTGTGGCTGTGAATGGAAATGTATTTTCAAATGGCATACTAATGCACATACAGTATGGTTACATAAAGGATACAAAAAAAGCAGCTACTAACAGTTGTGCAGCTGATTTTTCTCTTCCTCTAGACATATATATTTTTAATCTTCTTAGTCCTTATCTTGTGTTATAATCTTTTAGCATTGTAATCGTTATAAAAAGTTAAAATAACAGTCTTGAAATACAGTATTTCTTCTGTTGTCTGATAATGGCAAACCCTTTGAAAAATTAGCTTTGACCTCAAAATTTATTTGAAGTCTCTGTCCACTACTGCTGCATTGGGTTATAATTAAAATATTTATGGCTTTCAGAGTAGCCCAGGAGCTGATATACTGTATGGTTTCAAAACCATGCTGCCTCTTCTGGCTTAAATTCATTACCGTATTGAAATTTGAGCTTTTTTGGCAAGAGCAAGACTATTTTAAAGAGTGTGGTGTAGATCATTTTTATGAGCAATTATAAGCTCACAGAACAAGCACTTTAAGCACAAAACACCTCTCTTACACTAAACTGATGGTGTTTGGACTTAACATTATCATGCCTTTGCATGTCTTATAATAGTTTGCTGCGTCAGAAATGTTCCTTTAACCATCTAGTCTTGTATTTCTAAAAGATGTTACTTTTTCAAGATTTATTTTGCTTCCATGAGTGCACCATTTATTGTATTACATTATGCCGAGAGGTCTTAATACCTTAATTCACCTTTTTGTTCATGATGTAGATTCAAGGTTAAACATTCTTCTCACAAATGCATTTGGTTTCTATAATGCACTGTAAATAATGTACTATAATTTACTTTTCATTACTCTGGTAAGAATGATGTTAGTGGCTCAGCGCATCTATAGATATCTTTAAATCACCATTTCCTTGGTGTGTTTGTTTTTAAAGCACCATGGAGGAGAAATGCTGGATCAAATTTAAAATTATGTGTAAAATCTTAAAATTAGTTTTAAATTCTGTGAATATCATATTCTGCAGCAAATTACATGTGTGTACTGTATGTTTATAAAATGTTCACTTCAATAGGGAGGTTATTCTTTTAGCTGTGAGGGCAGGAGCTCTGTGAAATAAGTAGTCATTTAGAGCTGTTGTTTAGTCTTTTGGAAAGACATAAGATGGAGTGTCAATATTGTCATGTTAGGTTGTAAAAAGGTTATTCTTGAACGTGTGTGCAGCACAGTATTACAGTATATACTGTACATGTTATCAACAGATATTTTGTCATTCTAGAGCTCTGGGATATGTGAGGGGGAAGGAATGTGACGATAACCTGCCTTTGTGTCTTTAGAGAACCGTTTTTGCTCATGAGACTAAAAATTGCTCCTGTGTTGCAATATAATTCCACTTCTCCAGTTGGCAACAGCTGTATTCATTTCCAATCTCTTCTGCTACTACTGAGGCACCTGCACATGGAGCCTTTGTGTTATGTGTTTTAACATTGTATCTGTGCATTCATGGAAAATAAGACAACAATTAAAGACAAAGGAAGATACAGACATGATTGGACCATTGCTTTATCTAGCAGGCTGGTTTAAAGTGGGCTGCTATCCTGCAGAGTAGATACAGAAGTAAGAAAAAGTTGAAAGGCAAGAATGTAAGCAAGAAACAAAAGGAAAAGAGTGAAGCCAAAGTTAAATTGAGAATTACAGAACTTCAAAGCATCTGTATGTTTCTGTTAAAGGATGAGGTTGGTTAGCTGTATTGATAAATGTTAATAAGGAGGTTTAAAATACTTTAATTCTATTTTAATTCTAGTTTTGTTTAGAAGCATAAGTGGTTGTTATTAAGACAACGTAGTATTGAATGTAAGTCATTGTTACTGTATATTTGGAGAGAAATTAATTTGTAGTGCAGATAGAGTTATAAATGTGTTTTGTATAATGCAGTACAGTATGTAAACAGAGGATGGTCAGGTTATAAATGGAGAGAGGGGGCCTAACATAGATCCTGAGGGACACCATAAGATTCTCTAAATGCACAATTGAGGACACAAATGGAAACTACAGTACGTGGAAGTGTAAAAATGCCTGGTTGAGATTCTTGAGTCAGTTACCTATTAACTACCAAACCGGTTTGTTGGGCTGAGTGGCCACTCAATTTGAACCTTTCTTATGTTCTTCTTATATGTCTGAGAATTTAAAAAAATACATTATATATCTGATATGGCATGAAGTTAAATTTTGGTGAAAAGTCAAATTGGGTTGCTTATTCCTCAACTGACTAAATTATGTATCTAGTAAAAGCATTACCAACATACTAAGGTTCAGGGATCCAGACACACTGACATAATTTCAGTCACTTCTGAAGAGTAATTACTTCTCACTGATTTTTATGTCTGGACATCTGTGTAGTGAAGCAGAGAGTGGGTGGTGGATTAATGCATGGTACAGTGGACTGCTAGATAAAAATAACAGTTTGATTTTGGTAAGAAACTTTAGTGTTAAAATGTGGCCTGGTGTTCAAGGAAAGAATAGAATAACGCATTCTCTCTGCCACCCTCTAGATCGTGGAAGCAGATGTGTCAGCTAACGTGCATCACAGATAGTGCTTCTTTTTTAAATTGTCTCTGTTTTCACTTTTACCCAATTCAAATAAATAATTATCAATCAATATAGGTTGTACAGTTTTCTGAAAGGGTGTTGGTGAACTGCAAACTTTTTCACTCTTCAAAGAAGACCCAGCCCAGCTTCTCACTATGGTAAACTGTTACATTCACAATAATGGTTTACAAAAATGCTGTGGTGTCTGAAAAGAATGTGCCTTAGGATCCTCTTAACTGGTAGGACTAAGAACCAGTAACCGTTAGAGAGGAGGAACTACTCACATTACCCTCCTGACCTGTGGGGAACCTTAGAGCCGTGGCTGAGACCAAACCAGGCCTGGTGGGATGAAGCCACCCTCCCACCCTCCCGGCAGAATGCGATCTATAACCTACTGGTCTATCCTGTTTCCCCTTGGTCCAAATCTTAATGGGATTCCTTCAGCTTGAACTGGCAGCTGAATTTGATCCATTCATTAGAAAGCTTTATCCTCCTTTCCTAGCTGAGCACTGGTCCTTGCAGAATGAGCTCACTGGATGTAGTTGAACCTTTTAAACTGTTTAATTAAAAATGGTTTCAAAGCCTAGGTTTTAGGGTATCTAACCCTTAGTCGACCCACTTTGGAACCTAATCTGAAACTTGGATTGGTCTTGCCATGACACTAGATTAGTTTGATCTCACCCCAAGACTAAACAATTCACCCTGTGTGTTCTACCTACAGTATTTATAGAGAACTCTAATTGAAATATACAAATTCCTACTTATTTTCTTCCCCAGAGCATCCCTAAGCCATTCTTTAGTGGCTTAGACAAACATGCTGAGATTCAGCTGCTCCATTTTACACTTGTCAATGAAACAATGATTCTGTTTTTAATATTTTATGCATCAAGATTCCAAGCTCAGCATGGGTTTTTCATATTCTGTAAGGCTGGGTATGCTGTGTAGCAAACAGCACCGACTGAGAACAGCTGTAGATTTTAAGAACATAAGAAATGTTATGAGCAAAGGGAGGGCATTTCACACTTAAAGCATTTTTGTTTGCTAATAGCTAAGTTTTCTAAGTTAAGTCATCCACCCACTTCTTGAATGATACCAGGGTATCGGTTTTGACAACACTGCTGAGTAGCTTAGACTAGACTCCTACAACCCTTTAAAGAAATGCCTGTTCTTATTCAATTGCACCTTCCTTTATTTTCCATAATGAGTGTATATATTTTTAAAGCAATTAAGATGGTGACCGGAACTGCAGGACTAACAGATTTTTTTCTTGTTCTTATTGTCCTCAGGCTCTGAGCTGATGCCAAAGGCCCTCTCTACAAGAATTATTGGTGGGATCTGGTGGTTTTTCACTCTTATCATTATATCATCCTATACTGCCAACCTAGCAGCTTTCCTCACAGTGGAGCGAATGGAATCCCCTGTTGAGACAGCAGATGATCTGGCCAAACAAACTAAGATTGAGTATGGTGTAGTGAAAGATGGAGCCACCATGACTTTCTTTAAGGTGAGCTGATCATAAACAACCCGTTGAAAACCTACAAACTTTGTTGTTTGTTTTTGTATCAGCTTTTATTTTTTATTTTCTTTAATTAATGTATTTTAAATAAAGCTTAACTGAATGAAACCACCTTTTAAACAAAACCAAAAAGCGTTCAAGTTTCATCATGAAGTCAATACATTTAGTTTGATTTGACCCTGTTGATTAATTTCCTTAGAATAAATTGCCTCTGTTCTAATCAAAGAAATTTGGGGAGTATAATGGATCTTAAATCAGGCATGATATTAAACTTCAGCCGCAGTCAGCTTTCAAAACTTCACATTTTCTATACTATGTGTGAAAATCAATATTATTCCACAAAGGACTTTTTTTCAGTTAGATCTTTATCCCCAATACAAAAGCATATTCTCTGGCTCTTCCATTTCACCAGGTCTTTTGAAGTGCTCCTCCATAATGATTTTCTGTTCAAAAAGTTTCAGCTTGGCTGCAGGGTTTTTATTTTGAGACAGATGATTCTCCTGATTGTGCTGCTGTGCAGAATAACAGATGAGTGTGATTTTCGTCTTGATTTTGTTGTCCTTAGTTCTGCTGTTGTCTTTTTTTCCAGTTCCTCAGAATCCATTAATGGACAAATAGTTTGAACAAACAGGAACCAGTTGGGATAAAATAATAGAAAGTAAAATATACGCCAGCAAAATGTTTCTCTCCTAACTTCTAGTTGCTGTTTGAGATGATGAAGTGCCAGTGAGATGAGCTAATGGGAGGTGGCTGGTATCATTCAGCATCACTATTGATTTTTGCAGTCTTAGCCAAAGAGGTTTATTGCTGTTTTCACACTCTCTAGCAGGAATAGGAACATTGACCAGTATTAAGCCATATATTTACAATTCATGATCTATAATCGTCAGTTTGAGCAGGCACAGCACATTAGCACAGTCACACTCTGTGTGGTTCCAAATGACTACAGTGGCCCAGATTGGTACTGCAGCTGTAAATGCTTCCTCAGAGAGATGGCTCAGCCTGTCTTTTAACTACCTTTTTTCTTCTACCCAGGTGTTAAACAGCAGCTGTGTAGAAATTCACAGCTTTTATGGAGCCATTTTGCCGTGATCCACGACATGTAGGGTCTGTGATGATGAGACTCTAGCTTATCTTTGATCTGAACTGGTGGCTGTATGCTAAGATGTTTCGAGACAGGGCGCTGCCCTTGGCTACTCATAAACAAAAATCTCAGTAAAGGGCTGCTTTGCATGACCTAGCAGATCCATCAATGTGTTACTGAGGTTGTTAACGCTACTACTGTTTCTTAGAACTGAGCCAAGAGAAGAGACTTCTCTAGGCTGCCTGATAGTGCTGTAGGCAAAGCCCATGCTTAGATCACCAGGGACGATAAAGGTCTAAAGAGCAATGGCAAAGTAATTTCCTGTATAATATGGAAATCATCTGCTGTTAGCTCGTTTCATTGATTTGTGAGTGGTAAGAGTATGTCGAATATGACTATCTAATAAAATGTTTAAAAATATAAAAAATGAAGTATTGTTCCTCTAAATTGCGCATCTATTATTTAGTTTAATTATTAATTATTCATTATTTATTTGTGATGCTTTAATTTCAGTTGATGAAGTTTGTAACGTCATCAATATTGTGTTATTTTCTTTTTTCCATCATTTCAATTTTACAAAGCCATAGAAATGTTGGTAAATGGATTTTCTATATACAGTATGTTTTCTTTTCTTTCACCTTAGATTTGAAGATGTATTTGGTTTTAACAGGATTCTGCACATTTGTTTGTCTCTTAACAGTCAAGTAATTGAACCAAAGTTAGAATCAAATATGACTGATACAATGTTTAAACCTCTGGTGCTCAGTTTGTATCTATTGTTAGTAGGCTCCATTGTGACTGTAGGTGTTTGTCTTAGTTTTATGTACAGTATTAATCCCCAACTCACGTTCGCACCTGCCTTTTTAAACTGAACCTATTAAACGATCAAAGACTGAAAAGTGGCATCACCAGCTCACATCCCAAATCACAGGAGGCAGTTAAATATGCTTCTAAAAATATTTGGACTATTTCTGTTTTTATTGATGCTTTTCAAAGCCTAAGAACATGGCGCATGGCCTCTTTTTGAAAGATTCTTGAAGTAAAAATAATTTTAAACTTTATTTAGATTTTCTCTGTTTTCTGTGGTACTGATCATTTTGATTCTTCTGTTTTGTAAAAATAAAAGATCTTCACTGATGCTTTGCAGAGTGTACACTGAATGCTGTAAATTGTGAACGTGTTTCAGGGGTGTGGTATTTTTTTCTAGGAAAAAAGAAATAACTCTGGACAAGCAACCTGCAAAATGCAAAGGCAGCTTCTCACTTTGATTGAATATAGTATTCTAGCAAAAGGATGAACAATGAATATAAATACTTTCTCTGTACTGTGAACAATTTGCTTCCCGTGCATTCCTTAGGCTCTTCAAAAGGCAAAGGAAGGGCTGACATTCTGACTTCCCATTTGATGTAAACATGCCTGGGACATGTCATACAAACAGAAAAATAATTAGTGAAGCAAATATTATTATGCCATTAAATCTACTTCATTTAAAAAGAGACAGGTGTCACTAATTATCTCATCAGCTCTGCCTATCTTGAGAGCTGTCAGTTCCTCACTGTCATTATCTGAAACAAGAAGACTGATGCAGCTGCTGCAAATCAACAGGCTAACAAAATGTCTTGGTGAGCATCTTGATATGAGCAGGAAGAAATTATGCAAAGGAGTTTACCGAATGAACCGAGTGAGGGGTTGACATAGGACTGCTGCCTCTGCACTGATTAACCTATCACTTTGAGACATGAGAGGTTTCACGAGCAGTCTACAACTTCAAATGATTTAATATATAAATAGAAGACTAAATCTTTGCATACTGAATTATTGCAATGCTATCATGAGGAAGCAAGAACATTAAATTTCCTTATATGAATGATAAACATCATTATTTTAGCCTTTAGCTTTTGATTATTAAGTATTGTATTCAGTGTTATGAACACTCTGTCTCCTTCTGTTAAGTAAAATGCCAATCTGTCATTTTCTGTCCCACAAATAGGCCATGCTGATCACCTGTTCACATTGGCAGTTGAACACACCACATTTTTGTATTCTGAATTTATGATTAGCAATTATCTTCGTTGCATGACCACCAGATTTGGGGTCACTGCTTAAGACTCAGCTCCCCTGTAACAATTCCTGTACCTGCATGGGTTTAATGAAGACCTGTAGGCATCAGCCTCTCATATACCCATCTGTTCATCTTTTGAAATGCTGCCTTATAGGAGGGTTAGCCCTCTAGAAAGACAAGACAAGCTGACATTCTTGCAAGAGGGCCCAAAGGTACCCATTAAATGCCAGGAGTTGTTATTCCACTAAAAGTACAGAAAGCCAATTCCTACTGAACCCCAATAGCACTCTAGATCTAAACTGGATGAAAGGCCTCTCCTTGTCTGTGGCCTATCTGGTGTTCTATTGCTTCACACAGTTATAGTCAGCTAGTGACTCAGGCTTATGCTCCAAGTAAGCTCCTTGACTAGCTGAGCTAGGTGGGAGACTATCACAATTCACATTTTTGTAATGACATAATGTGTATACTAATTTCTTTCTTTATTAAGACAACTGGAAAATGTTGTTATTCCTTAAAGCTGACCTGTATCTTGGGCCCAGTTAATTGCCTGACTTTTACATACAGTATGTATCTTCATTCCTTTTATTAATACAAGTCAGTGTGAGATCATTATTTTTTATTCACTCCTCCTAAAATCCTTTAACCAAATGAAAGAGAGATCCTTTATGTCTTTATGTCCTTTATACCTTTATGTTAAATATCTCTATTAAACTGATATAGCAAATTGCATTAACCTACTGTATGTTCGACATAAACAGTACACTGCCTAATATACTGTATCTGTGTAACCTGACATTTTCAATTGCTTCACAAATGCCCCATGTTTTTTAAGGTTTCCATCATTTTGTAGAAGGGTTATTTGAAGAGGTTTTTATTTTGAAAGCAATAAAACATCTTCAGCTCACCATTGTAACCCACAGGTGAGGAAAGAAAAGTGATGAGTCACAGCTGCAGTTGACTCAGGTCAGTAAAGAAAGGTGATGTGTCACAGAAGGGGTTTGTACAGATCCACTTTAATCCTATTGAAAGCCATCTGTAGTGGAAAAATGGATCAAGCCCTTGAAAAGCATTTTTTCACCAAGAGGCATCCTAAGTAGTGCCCTGTTTTTTAGGGTTCGGAATTGGAATGGAAACAAAAGTTCTCTTAAGTGTTCCTAAATGTCTAAACAAGATGTCTTGAGTGTCAGTGTGAGACCGTTGTTTTTTGTTCACTCCTCCTAAAATCCTTTAACCAAATTAAAGAGAGATCATTTAAATATGTCTATTGAATTGATATAGCAAATTACATCGACCAATCTGAAATTCACATTTGGCTATGTTTGTAGCCACAAAATATCTTTGTGGACTGAAGTGAGCATTTGCTGTACTGTATATGAGGAAAAATATCAATTTCTGCAGGATGGGTTGCACATAAAATTTATTTACAGCAAGAAAGGCAAAAGCACAAGTGCAATGTTCATGAGAATATGCTTTTCGTCTTGTATCAAAACCTGTTGTCCTGACCCTTGTTGAAGGAGGGATTAGGGAGTCCAAATACTCCAGTTTAAAGTACACTGTATTTTTAAAGGTAACTCTTGATGTCCTACAAATTCTTAATTTTTAATGTGTCATCAATGTGAGCTCCATCTGCCCTCCCTTTGGCGCTCCAGCTCTCCTGTCCGTGCTGTGGAGCCCCGCAGTGTGAACAAGTGCAGGAAGGCCATTAATAGTCTTCATCTCTCCAAGGATGAGTGCTGCTCTGGTGAGCACAGTTAATAAGAATTAGCAGCTCCAAGGGCCTTTGGAATGGCTCAACCTTCAAAGGTACTCGCTCTGAGTGCAAGTCAATTGCAACGGACCAGACTCTGCCAGTGCAGTACTGGGGTGTGCCATTACTGGACTGTGATAGGGATTCCTGAAGCTGTGGCTCACAATTGGACAAGGGCCTCCAAGATAGAGTAGCCACCAGTCGCCCACAGTACTCTTGGTTGCAGATGCAATGGTGACTCCTGTGGCCTGTCCCCTGCAAGCCTACAGTGAGAGATGTGGCACTCTCCTAAAATGTGCAAAGTGTCCTCTACAGTATGCTTGCAGCATGTCCAACAATGAATGGCTGTGACATTAGGTGAACTAGAGGACTGTGTCCACATGTTCTCTTTCTCTCAGTCGGTACTGTATTTTTAGTTTTTGCTTAACTGTTGTCCTAATCCGAGGAAACGTACAGTGTTTGCCAAGTTTTACAGTACATCAAGTGTAAGTGTTGGGGCTGTAGCTTTAAAGGCAAGTCATAATAATTCCAGATCTCTGAAGGTAGCAGAAACAGAAATTACATACACTCCCAAGGCAAGGAGCATTAACATTCTGGAGCTTGAGTTTGCATTTTTCATGAGTCACATACAACACACACTCCATACAATTGTTTTTTTGCTTGAAAATTGTTCTCTCTGTTCTCCATGGTATAATGTATTGTTACTTTGTGCAGTGACCCAGTAAACTGCTGTGAAAACCACAGCCCAGATTATTTACTGTGTATATCAGAATCCAAAAAGGCGATTTTATTTTATTGCTTGGAATATTTACTCAGGGTCCAGGGCACAAGCATCTTTTTTCCACTTTCTATTCTATCATGTGAGATTCCAGAAAACAAAATTAGTAGCAAAGACGGGGGGGTCTTAACTTCTCCCCAAGGTCAGTGACAGACTGTCAAAATTAACTGCTTGTAGTGCAAAATTATGTATTTTATTTGCATAGTTGATCCAGTGTTTTTTGATGGGAAATTGCACATTTCATGCCTCTAGTGGTTTGTGTTAAACAGATGGTTTCTCTTGGACTAAGTAGATTGTTTTTTTTCTGCCTATACAAGTCACTGGATGTAGTAGGTTCAGGGTGAAATTGATCTATTTACTTGATCATTTTCAAAATGATGTACAGTAGTCAAAAGTAAGAAGCTGTTTAGTAAAAATGGGTAATCGGAGGTGCACGTTTGTGGTGCTGTTTGCAGACTTGTGATTTCACTATTCCAGGGGGTGTGATATTAAACGTTAGAAATGGTTTCACCCATTAAAATTAATTTCCAGAGTGAGTGTATTATGAAAGCCAAAGAGAGCAAACAGGTTTGGCTGTTCTTTCTTTACAAGAAATATTTATCTTGTCATTGCATATGAAGAGAGAATGTGGAATAAGTTATGTCAAATTGTAGACATTGGCACAGGGGCATCATTCCACATGTCTGCATCTCAGAAAACGATGGAAAAAAGGTTCTTTCAAACCAAAATAGCTTGCATTCTTTTAAAACAAATATGAGTGCCACCAAAAGAAATCAAGTGCAATTTCAAAGACGTCATTGAAAATAGTTCTTGTGATTTACACCTTTGTGGATTTCATTCAGAGGAGCAATTTGGAATGATTATTTTGGTTTATTTGCATTGTCTTTTTGTTTTTGATTTTGTGCGAAACAGCTTCTGTGTTGGTGAATGGGCACAAAAAATATTCATGCTGTCTCTGTTTCAGAAATCAAAAATTTCCACGTTTGAAAAGATGTGGGCATTTATGAGCAGCAAGCAAAACACAGCTCTTGTCAAAAATAATGAGGAAGGTATTCAGAGAGTACTGAAAGCAGATTACGCTTTGTTAATGGAATCAACGACTATTGAATATGTCACTCAAAGGAACTGCAATCTGACCCAAATCGGAGGCTTGATAGATACCAAGGGCTATGGAATTGGTACTCCCATGGGTAAGGATTATTATCATTCCTTCATTATGAATCTAACTACAGTATATAATTGGCGCACCGTATGACCTACAGTATATCACCATGCAGTACAAAATGTTACATACATTACCCATTCAATAAAATTCAGTTTCTTGTCAGTTTCTGTCAGTTTTAGTTGGAAAGGGTAAATGTATACTTATTATTTATTATTTCATTCTTAAGTTATATTTAATCGAGAGGTTTGCAATGTATTACTACAGATGCAGACATTCTGAAGCTATTTGAGCTCCATGCAAATACTGTACATCTTCTTTATGATTTGGATTCGTACAAGTCAAAAGCCAACAGAGAAGATATACAGGTCTTATGACAGCACAATGCTTCAACTTTTGTCCCATTGTGGTAGGAATACTTTTCTGGATGAGCCACATAGGATCACTTTAGAAGGTATCTAAACAAAAAAACAAGATGGCATGATTAATTTACAGTAATTGTTCAGAATCGGCTATTCTCCATACACATCATCCTGTACATCTCCCACGATGCAGCGGAAACACATTGGATGAAAATACTGTATCTATTACTCTCAGACACTTTTTTGCACACGAGTGAAATGAAGTGTGATCTGTAGTTTTAACATTGCTTTCCCAGAGATGCACTGTAACTGTTTCAAAGGGATAAGAAAACTTTGTTTTGTATTTTATGCATATCTGTTAAACCATCCATGTGGGTTTCACTTTATTGTAGGTTCTCCATACAGGGACAAAATTTCCATTGCGATTCTGCATCTGCTAGAAGATGGCAAGTTGCATGTGCTGAAGGAAAAGTGGTGGAGAGGCAATGGCTGCCCTGATGATGACACAAAGGAAATCAGAGCCCTTGGCATACAAAACATTGGAGGGATCTTTATCGTGCTTGCAGCAGGACTGGTACTCTCCGTGTTCGTGGCAATCGGGGAGTTTATTTACAAGCTGAGGAAAACGGCCGAACGTGAGCAGGTAAGCACCAGGTAATAAACTTCCTACAGGTCTGTGAGTTTTTTTGAAAGTTCTTCAAACTAAATGCATGTGTGTGCATCCTGATTGGATCAGAGACTAGTACAGGAAAATGAATGTGCAAGAAAAGTTGGATCTGTGCAAGAAAAATTGGTTTGTCATCTTCTGAATAGTTTCCATTGTTGTGACTCTTAAATAAAAATGAAAGGTAACTGGTATCTCAAAGCCTATATACTGTAGCACAATGCTGTAGATTATTCAGATATTCTGCTGTGTGCCTAACAGATAGCAGTCATTAGCCATGTTGGCAAATGCTTCTCATGCTGCTGCTTAGCATGCAGCTCAGTGAATATCCTTTCAGATCTTGAAATAATCCCATACATTGCATTACAGGAGCGGAAAACTTCACCTGTGAAGCACACAAAGAAGGGTGCTTTGAATAACATTTTGGTCTGCCTCAACGTGTCATTTTCAATTTTGCTTTATGGCCTTTCTTCAGTCATTTGTAATCTGAACATTATTTTCTGTGCATTGTGTCTGAGATAAAGCCATCATGCATTATTATAAACCTCCACTCTTCTGCAAGTGAGTGATCTCAGAGTATCTCGAACATCCCCTTGCCCACTGGCATTCAGGGTTCTGGGTTTAGAATTTCTGAGTGTGACGATGGCAGCAGTAAAATGGCTTTAAAAAGAAGGTAAATATGTGGAGAACTGCTTATATTTGCCTCGAAGGTCTGTATAAGGCTTTTGAGTCTTATACATGACAATCTGGCTCTGGAACAAATAATTCATAGTTATTCTACCTCCATATCGTGTGTTTACTTCAATCCTCATCTAAATGTGCAGAGCTTATCCCACATACTGTATTACTTGATTACAGTATCCAATCTTTGTCTCAGTAAATTGACATAATTAAGAATTGGAGCATAAAATGTAGGATTTATCCTTTATTAGTCATAGATGATGTCAAAATACCATAGCAGCCGGTTATGGTTTGAGTTATAGTTTCAAGGTACCAGTTAAGAAGTTTGATTTTCATTAAACAAATAAGTTCATGGCGAGTGCTGCAAATCTACATGAACTGAACATGCAAGAACAAACAACAGTGGCCTTTCAGATTGCTCAAGGAAAAAGTGCATTTCCCTATTGTGACTGACAGCTGAAAATCAAAACTCATTGTAGGAAAAACAATCTCTTTTAAGATAAAATAAATACAATTAACTACATGTTATTCCCCACCCCCCTTCTTGCCTTTCAGAGATCCTTTTGCAGCGCCATGGCCAATGAAATCAGACTGTCTTTTACCTGTGAGCGCCGTGTAAAACACAAACCTCAGCCCCCAGTCATGGTGAAGACGGATGCTGTAATCAACATGCACACGTTCAATGACAGAAGGCTACCGGGAAAAGACAACATGACTTGTAACACTGGAATGACGCCTGTATTCCCATAACATGACTCTGAATCAAGATCAATACTTAGGACTGTGCGTGGTGGAAAAAAAACAAACTGGGGCTGTTTCAGAGACAAAGCAATTGACCAGAACCAATTAGTTTTCAGTTATTCGCAGTGGTACTGTATTACATAAAAAGTGACAACAGTAGCAACAAGAAACGACAACAACAGTGCAGTTCAGAGAGCAGTGAGAAGGGAGGAAACCGCAGTTTCTGAAACACAATTCAGCCAACTTGTCAGTGTCCAAACAATCTGTTTCCAAGTCTGATGTTTACGTGCAAAAATACAAACACATTAAGTGGGAAATGAAGAAACACCACAGAGGAAAAAAAGACCCCAAACTAAGGAAAATGTGGAATATATATTAAAAAAGCTTCTTTAAGCATGGCAATAAAAGAACTACAGACAGAAGGTCAAAGGGTATGAAAGTGTGGAACCAGAGAAGTCACACATAGCACATTTAATATTTCAGTGAGAGCTGCAGAAATTCTTTGACACTCAAAGTTGACCTGTTACCTCAATGCTGTGAAGACTTCCTGTTCAGGAATACCTGACTTGACCAGTTTTAGTCTGAAAAAGAGGAAGAAATTCTGGAGGTTATAGACAAGTGGAAATAATGCGCGGCGGGACCATGACAAACAGACTTCTTTCACACAGATGCATTTGACCGCAATCTGCAGTCTGAGTAAATTCTGGAGTTTATGTTTTTTTGACAAAATGAATGCACAAATCAGACAGGGTTGACATAATTCAAGCCAGTGCTGTGTGCTGAGGTTCATCTGTTGGAAGTAACTTTTTTCCCAGCCCTAAACAGAACTACAAATAATGTTTTCTTACTTTGTCTTATTTTTTTATAATTATGGGAAGAAATAAAGATAAAAAATCAACATGCAGTTCAATTGCTCAATTAAATCATTTCCTATCAGATGTTTCATACGTATTAGTAAATTGCAGTACAAGGTGACTCAACAATTACCAAAGATCTGTCTGCAAAATAGAAGTAGTCTTCAAAGGTCAATTCATGTTCTATTCTTTATAGGTGCAAAAACATTTGGAATTTGACCTGCATTCTTGGAGCATTCTAATCATGACTTATACTGGTTGTCAAAACTGATTAGAATTCTGGCTTCATAGCCAATGAATTTTAATCACATGTGGTTTTCTTTTTAAGTAGTCTGCAGTAGAATTTTAACATATTTGATTCTTAAAATGGCCTCATTGTAAATTCATAAAAGGGTTAATGTTATTAATAAAATAGTAGCTGTGGTTTATATTCTACTGGGGAACATTTAAATACTGCATTTGACTTTTTTACATTATTCATATTCTTCTAGTTACTTAAGTAATGATATTTTAGTCCATAGTGTGATCTTTCCAGTCAACACTGCTAAGAATTTTTGTAGTGTAGTAATGTTCTGTCAGGTCATTCACTTCTTAAAGTACCAACTGAGCTGCCTCTAAAAGCACAAAAGGTACATCTCTGATGTGTGTCATGTTTTGTTCAAACAAGAGTGATTTGTTTCAAAAGGTTAACAAGACAAGCAGTGGCTGAGTAAATCAGTATCAAGTTTTATCGAGTTGCCATCATGTCTCAAGTCTCATGTTCATGCTTTATACTTCAAGAACAAAAGTCGTATTCAACAGAATGTTTAACTGAATGTACAGTATGTGTTAGTCTGTCAGGGACTCTACTGTATTTTGATCATTGGGTGATTTCATTTTTGTTCCACAACAGCTATAATTTCAGTCCTTAAAGGGCAAACATGATTAAAGGTTCATAGCTCCCATACCCTCCTTTTCACCTTACTAATTACTTGTATCATTGAAGAGATTTGACCTTGTATTGGATTTTAATATATTGCCTCAGTGGCTGATACTGAACATGTGGCCCTGTTATACAAGCATTCCGTGTGGAATCCGGTTAGTGTTTTTGACTATTAATTTTCAAATTCTGTTATCAGGTTGCAAGTCATTTCTTCTTGCAAACCATGGACTAGGAGTATTACTGTAACTGGTATCCGTTCTTCAGGAGATGTTTTTCAAGTATTTGAGCAGAAAAGGAAAACTATACAGTACAGACACAGATCTATTGTTAAGAGTATTAATTTGACAACTGGTATAACTCATGATACAATACTTTTTAAGAAATCTTCAAGCAGCTCAGATATTCAGTCCTCTCAAAAATGTGTGTGTAATATTAGAACATAGAGCATTGGAAGTTAAAAAAATCAATATAAACATCTGTGTTTTTTGTCCACTAACAATCCATAAATTTGACATAGTATCATTCAACAGTGTAGGCTGTATCTATTTGTGATTTACTATTGTTTTTAAGCTTTAATTGGAAGTCCAGTGAATACTTTTATTGAGGACATTTTTTAAGATGCTTGTCTCACGTTGTGTTTCCACAATATTTTACATTCATTACCTCAGTAAGGAATGGATTTATGGAACTACCTGCCACTTTTTCTCTTTGTACTGATCTATAGCTTTTTAAACTTATTAAAGATGTCTCCTGTTTTTTAACGTGTTTTTTATTTTGTTTTTAATCAAGTTAGTATTCAAGTTACTTTGGGTCTTCCTAAAATGCAGTTTTAATTTCAGTGTATTCTTTATTTATCTTTTCATATCAACCATCCAATTTTTACATTTTGTAAAGCATTTTAGCCCTCTGTCAAAAGTGCAACTTAAAAAAAGCAAACACATAACATATGTTCATGAAACTATATTCTATATGTCATAGTTTCAAATTGCACATTATATTTATGACTTTCCACATATTTCTGAAAACCAGATTCATTATTGTTTTGGATCATAACTCTGGTCACATCATGATAACCTAGATATACTGTAATAAGTTTACATCAACTGTCAATGGTCAAAGCTGAGATCTTTATTCACCCAGCATAACAAAATTATATATAAATAAAATTAGATATAATTATCCTATGAAGACACCCTGCAACTATCAGAACTGTATTTTTTCACATGCAGTTTAGCTTGTTTTTATATCTTTTTATTTGCCTTTTGTAATAATTGTAATAGTTGGTAATACTTCATATATAACATTCTAATTATATATTAGTGTGGAACATTTATTTTAATGTCTACAGATTATTTACATTAAACCATGTAACATTGAAAAGACTAGACAATCTTACCCACTTAGTACCTGGCCACCTTAAGGAAACTTCGCAGAATGGAAAGTTACTTACAGTACAGTAGCTGTATACTCATGGCGTGCATTCAGTTTTTGTCAGTTTGGAATGATCCCTCTTCAAAGCACCTTTCCTTAACTACACACTGTCAGCCAACAATGCATTTCACAGTAAGGTCAAGATAACTTACAGACTGACCAGTACCTGACAAAGTAATAGGATTTCCAAAACAGTGGTACGCAACTGGCAAGGCATGTTGCTTCTTCAATCAGTGATACCTCTCCCATAAGGCATTGTGGAGCTTCACATGTGTCAAAAGAAGGTGTTTGTCAACTATCCAGAGCATTAGCCTTTGCTGTGAGCCAAGAGATTAAAGCCAATTTGCCAATTCCCCAAAAATGGTAGGGTCTAAAATGAAGAATTCACACAAACTGTTTGAAAAAACAATGTGAACTTTTACAGTAGTGTACAGTAGCTGAAACAGGTAAGTGTTATTGACCAATAATAGCAAGGCACTTGGAAGCCATGGTGTTACAACTTAGAGTAACACCACTTTAACTTAACTGTAAACTCATTTTACTTACCTCTCTTTATTTTCTTTGTGTCTCTTGTTCTGCTGCCTATGTCATACAGTATGTGCAGTTCTTTTGTTTCTCTTTTGATTTAGCAACAAAAAAAATGTGGCAAAAAGATAATACCTTGCTCATTTGTGTCAATTGATTATGTAAAATCACAAAATACCCCTTGATTTGCATTCTTTGAAATTCAACCCCATGTTGTAAATAAGGACTGAGAAAAAGATGTTGAGCTCTGTGTATTGAACGATTCCTGTACTGTTTTGTAGAATTCCCAAAACAGCATTGTACATGTATCTCATTTTAGATCCCACTAAAGTACTTCAACCAATGACAAGTTTTCTGTAATCAAAAATTTAATAAGCATGGAATGGATGGAAAGTTGCCTTGAAACTGGTAAATGTGGGTATGCCAAGTATGACAGAGACTGGGGAGAAATTTTTAGCATATTTTTCTGAGATGCTAAAAGTTCGAGAATAAAGCTGTCTTTTTAGTAGGGAGCCTCTAAAGGCAGCATACCTCTATGAGGTTTGGGTTTAAGACAGCTTCGAAAATTATTTTTCATATTCTGTATAATTACTGTACATGTACTGTACTTTATATTCATGCGTCTGAATGTCAGTCCGGGTTCAGAAGAATCCTATTGTATAAATGTTCTAAAAGGTTCATGTAATTAAAAAGCCCTCGTATAAAAAACATTGATATTTTGTTATATAATACTTTTTTTTTTTCCACTGGTTAAACATAATTTCTGTAATTACAAGTGTTATTAGCATTGACCCTTATTATTGTGCTACCTGGGTACAGTTAAGACTTAAAAGAACAACTCTCTTTTTGTAAATGCAAATATATCACGTACAATAATCTCTAAATAGGTATTCATACATTGAACTTGTTAAGTTGACACTTGCTAAGAAAGATTTCTGAAAGAAAGCATTGAATTCAGTTGCTATAATGCATGAATCTTCTTTCCCCCCTAATATTTCCCATCTGCATATCCTTTAAATAGATTAAGTAGGTTGTTATCAAGTCTTGGAATCATTAAAAATGCTGTCTCAAAAACATATATTACATATATTAATACACAAATGTATACATTATATCTATTCAGTATATGTAATATTTTAAGAAAATAAAATATAAGGGTACTGGTAAAAGGAAAGAGAGCTGTTTGAAAGGTCAATATTTGCTCTCTGGTTATGATTTCTTTGTTATTGTGTTTTTTCTTAAAAAAAATGATAATTTATTTAAATCACTTGATGACAACTTACTCCTTCACCTGTTTCTTTAAATATATACCTAATGTTTTCTCCTTATGTACATTTCTTGACAAAACAAAAAGAGGTGAAATGGATTCTGAAAAGTTTTACCTCTTGGGCAAAAGCAGTAATGCAAAATTTTAACTTAAGCAACTTCTGTGTTTGCGTAAACCAACAAAACATTTTTTTGGTTTCAACTTTCCTTAATGAAGTGTTTGTTTTAGATCCCCTCCAGGACCACAAAAAATGTTGCTGACTAAAGATAAAAACCTGTTTTAATTTAGAAAACTTGATATATGAAAATACAATAAAAGTTAGAACAAAATAAATTACCCCTGGTTTAAAAAACAAAAGCTTTTCCCCCCTGTGTTTTAAAATGAAAAAATAATTTACATTTGCAGAGCCTAAATATTTATTTTAGCAAATCGTATAAAATATTTGGTTAATAAATATTATATCTGAATTCTTCAGTTGAAATTTATTTTAGCAGCTAAAATCCTCAAATTTTTCGTGTTTCATTGTTTGCAATCACTTTTTAGCATTATTAATTCATCTTGCAAACAAGATAAATATATTTGTGCCAATCAGGGTTTTCTTTGTGGACATGCAGAATTTCTATAAATATAGTTTTTGTAATGTTTTGTAACAATTTTGTTTTCCTAGTAACTGTACGTGTTACTTGCTGACCACTCTTAGACTAATTGAAGTTCAAGTTGGGAAAAAATGAATTATTTTCTTTTTAACACACTGTGAGGAATTCAATTGTACAGTTTGCTGTATGGGTAATTTGGTTTTAAAGTTTTAAATAAAAAACTTTTTTTAATAACTGTTTCCAGAATTTGATTTTTTTAAGTGAGAGTGACATGGCTATTATTTATAATGTTTATGGTGAAAAATTACGTCTTTAAATAATCCCCATCTTTGTAAACGCCTTACTTCTGTGAATGTTTTTGTTTTGTTCAAGTTAACCTGCATGTATTTCATGGTGAAAAGTTCCTGGTAGCACTTTATAATTAGTCATGTCAGAACCGCTTATCAGTTCACAATCAAAGATTTTGAGAAGTCTTGTTAACCCCTTACAAGACTTAATACAGTACTTCAGGTGGGTAGCTGCGTCAGCATGCGTAGGCTGCAAAGGAACAAGTCATAGGTTTATTCCATGCTGAAAAAAAGAAGAAAGAGAACACAACGTTTCGGCCGTGGAGCCTTCTTCAGGTGTCAACTGTTTTCCTGCGGACTGCATGCCCATTAAAGAGAATATTATCCATTTTCAGAGTGCTGGTCAATGAGAAGCAAAGGTCACCGTGGATAACGAGACAAAACATGGGGTTTGGATGAGTATATTAAATTGCTTTTATAAAAGAAAACAGTATTTATTTTGAAACTTACATTTTGTCCATTATATGTTTATGGCATCCTAGTTTTTTCAACGTTTCGGCTGTGGAGCCTTCTTCAGGTGTCAACACCTGAAGAAGGCTGCACGGCCGAAACGTTGTTCTCTTTCTTCTTTTTTTCAGCATGGAATAAACCTATTACTTGTGCCTTTAATACAGTACTGTATGTTGTATAGTTCACCATTAAACCATCTGTTTCTAAGGACAAATCGTGAAATAAATTAAGCAATGTATAGATTATCCATCCATTTTCTAATCACCTCCTCCAATTCAGGGTCGCAAAGGAGCCGGAGCCTATCCCAGCAATCAATGGGCGCAAGGTGGGGTACACCCTGGACAGTACGCCAGTCCGTTGCAGGCACACCCAGACACACACTCACACCAGGGCCAACTTCTGCAGAAGCCAATTCGCCTACCAGTGTGTTATTTATTTTTTTTGTACTGTGGGAGGATACCAGAGCACCCGGAAGAAACCCACACAAACAAAGGGAGGACATACAAACTCCACACAAGTAGCACCTGAGTTCCAACCTTGAACCCAGGGCCTCAGCGTTGTGAGGCAGAAATGCTCACCAGTGCTCACCATACCACCAATGTAGAGATCATTTCAAAACAAAAGCATTTCGCCCACACTCAACAAACCATCATTATTAATGATTAACGCTGCCGACTATTTATGGAGACCCAGAACACCTGCGTTAGCATGTTCCCCGTGGGCCACAACGGAGATCCCCTGCAATTCAACACATAAGGTATCATCAGGCTCTAAGTATCATTCACTTGCATGTTAACAAATTTGAAATTACAGTGTATGTAGGTACTCTGCCTTTCGTGTCCACAAATGCATTTAAAGCTAATCGATAATGTGAAGCCTGAACTACAGTATATATAAAAAAATACAGTATACATATTATTTATAGTAATAGTTTTATTTATGTGTGTATATTTATGTGTAGAGTAATTACATGAATGAATAGCATTTTTGTCATAATGTGCTCAAGTCATATTTACAATATAAGACTTTCCAAACTTCAATGAATTAAACTACTTGGTGTAAAGTGTTATTCCAAACAATATGAATTAATTAAACAATTAAATGGTGATCTAGGGGAAATACAGTATCTGGATCATGTTTGACTCACAAAATTTCTTCTACACATAGTTCTTACAGCATACAGTAGTAAGACTTTTTTTTTAATCTATAGCAAATAGTGTGTAAAATGCTTTGTTCTTGGTTTTAATTGCAATACTGGTACTGGACTAAGCACCTAAAACGTGTGGTATAAGTTAAAGAAACCAAATCTTACTTGCAATAAAGTGGAGATAAAAAAAGTAAGAATCTGAGGTATGTAGCCCCCAAAAGATAAAAAATTTAAATGGAAAAATAGATCAATAGTAGAAACAGATAAAAACAATATTCTGAAATCAGTCTTTTCTTCTGTTCTCTTGAGACTGTCAGTGCATGAAAGTGCATAAGGAAAAGTATATAGCTACAGGCACATATGTAAGAGGCCTGCAGTTTCTAGACCCCTTTCATGAACTTCACAGCTGCACTCATGAGTGAAGATGGGGCTTGTGACCTGCATAAATAAAATTGAATACCATATTTTACCTATACAGGATTGGAAATCAGTTGAAATAAGGCAGCTGATTGGCTCTTAGTGTTTTCATTTCTAAAAGTGACACACATTACTTAGTCATTTTTCATGCTTCCTGTTACAAGAAAGAGTATTGATTCTTTTGGGTTTTTTACTATGTATTTATTTGCATAATATGTATACAAATGAACTGCACTGATGTAAACACAATTGAATTGGACAAATGTTTTGCTATTATATCCCCCTTATTTGCTAATTCATCTCAACAATGTTTATGTTTAAAAGCACTGCAATTTAATGTTAGATTTTTAATTTTATGTTCTAGTCAGAAAACAAACTTTATTCACATTATATATAATGGAAAATTGATATCTTAAATTCTGTCTTACTTCTATGATTTGTATGGTAGTTATACACAGCATATTTATACCAAATGAATGTCTGCCTATCTGTATGCAGAACTTATCAGAACCAATGTTAGCCTGGGGCATTAACTCCACACCCTTTTAGAATGTGAGAAAATCACTATTTTGTAATGCAGAAATAATATTCAACCTCCTCAACCAAAATGTCTGTAGAGCTGTCTCCAGAAGATGTTTGTTGTCATCCACTGCAATGAATCAATTCGCCCAAGGTGCCTGTCTTTGAAGTGAGATTCCTCCTCAATACAAGAACATACTTATATTGAGGTAAGTGCATTTCACAGATACTTCAAAGAGGCTTGTGTAGCAAAATGCAAAAGAACATTACATATATGTATGTAATTTAAACCTCTTATTGCAAGGTACCCTTAAAGAAGAGATAATATTTTCAGATGTGATACTGTAGTTCCACATAAAATGGATCCAGTTCATGCACTTAACAGATCCCATTTCTAGGCCCGTAGTCTGATCACTAGCTGATTTCAGTTTAGTTGCATTGGTTGATGTACACATAAAGCATTTGAATAACATTTCTGTAAACTGTTTAAAAGTCAGAAAGCTAGGATTATTATGAAGAACACACAATGATTTCTGAAGAGAACTTTATTTATACTCACAACCTTCGTGTTTACTGTCTGTGCTGGAAATATAACAACTTTCCACAAGTATTTGCTGTAGTTTATATCTTTGTTCAAAAAAGGAAACCTACAACCAATATCAGTGAATAATGTAGAAATAATAAAGACAAATCGAAATTATATTTTTAGTTTATTTTTTAGGGAGTATTCAATATGGATTTATTAAAGATAAATCACGCTTAATAAATTTGTTAGATTTTTTGAACAAGCAACAACAGTAATGGACTTACACAATGCATGTGTGGAAGATGGTGTATTTAGATTTTTAGGCTTGAGGTTACAGGTGGTAGTCATTTAGGGAAATGTGTATGTCTGGATTAAGAAATGTATTTGTTAAACAGAAGTTTAGAAGGGGGTCAAATTGTAATCTGGCATGTCAGCTCTCCTGTGTGCTGAGCACTCCTGTGTGTCTTCATTAGAACCCTTCCCTTCACCGTTGACTACTTTTCCTCCAAATGCACATAAGTGATCTAGATTCTGGTATAGTATAGTTAGTAAACTTGTTGAGATTGCAGATGATATCAGAACAGGAAAAATAACAAACACTATGCAAGCCACAACAGAATTAAATGAAAAGAATTTAAAATTCAAGAAAAAGTAGAGATGTGTAATGAAGACAAGTGTGCAATATTACACGCGGGTAACAAAAACATAAACTACAGTATATACATAAAATTGAAAAGGCTGAGTTGCAGGAGGCGATCTATGAAAAAATATTTATTTTAATCAGCATGGAAATAAAAGGTGTAGTATTATTTAAAGGTGTAGTATTTAAATCAAGGGATGTTAATATAAACTTGTACAATGCACTAGTTAGACATCTTTTTAAAAAATCGCACAATTTTGTTAACCATGTTAAAAAAAAGATATGGTTGCTTTGGAATCAGTCCATAGAAAGTTTTTCAGGAACAACAGTGAAGCACAAGTGGAACTTAACTTTCTGATACTGAAGGTCCCACTTCAAGCTGAGTGCCTCACAATGAATTGGCACAAGAAAGGGATTTCAAAGTGCACTTTCATTGGGTTGCCCTTAGTCTTAGTATTCAACAACTGAAAGTGTGTGATAACATAATGGGGTTCTGTGAATTTAAATATGACATTTCACATTAAAACTATTAATTAATCCGAGTCATGCTCAATAAATTAATCCCTGGTGTATTGCAGCTTTGTCTTATGGTTATTAAACTCTCTTTTGCCTGTATCTTTATTATTTAACAATTTTAGGAGTGAATCTCCTAATCATAATCCAAACTAAATCACAGCAGACCATTTCTATAATTTTG